TTTTTGGGGGGGAAAAAAAAAAGGGGAATGTGTTTTTTTTTTTTTTTTTTTTTTCTGCAGTCTCATTGCAGCTCACAAACAGAGCAGAGAATTCAGCCGGTGTTTGCTCAACTGTCACAGCGTCAGAGGTGACGGCGCGGGGGGGGACGTGTGGATGAGCTCTGGGGAAGAGGTGATGACCAAAAATTACCATTTTATTGTGGTTTGTTTTGGTTGTTTTGGTTTGTTGTTTTTTTTTTTTACTGCAACTTCTGCAGGTTTCCGTGCCTGTCCCTTCCCTGCACAGGCATTTATGAATTTCTCTACTTTGCTACAATCCAGAATGGTTCATTCTTGCCAACAGCCCCTGCACGTGGTGCTGTGATGCCACTAGGAGCTCCTAATCCCACGTGGGCTTGGTGGGAAGCAGTCAGTGGACTCCCCAGAGCACAAGGATCCCTGGAGGGCTTTGCAGAGGGCGAGTTGTAAAGTCAGAAGCAGTTGTTTGTTGGCTGAAAGGCTGGATGAGACGTTTTGGTTTAGTCTGCATGGGAGCAAGGGAGGATTGTTGGGAGCTCAGGATCTGGGGACATGCATCTCTGGGTGTGCTGAAGAGTGGTGCTGCCTTCCCTTCTCCCAGGTTACATAGGCTGGGCTAAATAGCATCTCCAAAAAGCTCCTCTTCAGCCCTCCCCTGCTGCGAGGCAGGAGCAGGCAGCCTGAGCCCATCATCCCAATTTTACTGCCAGTCCTGTGGCTAATTTCTCCAAGGCCCTGGTGATTTACATTTGTTTAGGTTGATGAAGGGCCATCATCTTCCTTGGGTTAGCATTTATCTTCCTTTCTCAGCCTGAACAAAGGCAATCCCGAACATGTGTTAGTTTGCAATCAATTCTGGTTTTGGGTTTCCAGGCATTAGGGAAGGGCTATGCCTGTGGATTTGAGTTGCAGACACTTCAGGGGGATGTTCATTTGTTTATAAAAGAAACCCACATCTGTTTCTGCTTGAATTTTTTAAGCAAGCATACATAGAAACCTTTCCCTTGGTTTCTGGCTCTGTAAAAGCTACATTTCGGGCCAAGTTTGACCTAACAGTGACCTTTTCAAAGTATTACAAATTTTTTTGGTATTTGTTTATGACTCTAATAATGATGCCATGCAGGGAATGGGTCAGTGAAAGGTGAAATTAGCTTCTAATGTAAACAAACGATTAATTTTGGAGCAGTGACCATATTTTATGGAGACTTTATGTTGCTTAGTAGTACAGCAATGGACTTGCTCCTGAGAGCTTGCTCCATGCCAGGCTTGGTGGGGTCCTGGGAATGGGAGGGATGTGGGCAATGGGTCCCCCTGTGCTGGATGCTGGAGGGATGTTGGGGCTTGCCCAGCCACCATCAGACTTTATAACCCTGTGCTCCAGATGGGGAAATAGCCTAATTACCTTCTTCTACAGTAAATTCCTCTGTTAAGTACCATGGGGTTTACTACTGTTTGGCTGCTCAAGAAGAGTCGCTCAGCAAACAGCATCTTCTTAGCACTGCCTGCAGTTTTCTGAAAAGATCTGGTTGAGCTCTGTGGTTTTGGCCCCAGATTTTCCTTCCTTCAGGCACATGGTGCCATGTAGCCACAGTGTGCCATCCCCAGCCCAGGCAGTGGCTGCCTTTCAGTGCTGCTGTGTTCAGAGATGTCTGGACTTGGCTCAAGCCAGAGTTTCATTCAGAGCAGTTTAATGCAACTTAGTTCAGAGAGTGCTGTCTTGGATCCTCTGACAAAATGATTTTCTCCATTTTACCTGCAGTGGGAGCCCCTTCTGTGTGCGGAGATAAATTCATACCGTTCTACAGTGAGCATGTAAAAGTGTGTGGGCAGGTGTAGGACAGGAGCAGGATGCAGGGGCCAAGTTCAGTTAAAGGGATGATGTGTGCATCTTCTTACGTATCATAGAGTCAGAATGCCTTGAGTTGGAGGGGACCTCTAAAGGGGATCTAGTCCAAACCCCCCTACAATAAACAGGGACATCTTACAGTAGAACAGATTGCTCAGAGCACTATCAGCTATGACCTTGAATGTCTTCAGGGACAGGGCCTCCATCCACCACCTCTCTAGGCAACCTGTTCCAGTGATCCACCACCCTCATATTAAATAACTTTTTCCTAATGTCCAACCTAAGTCTACCCTTCTCTAGCTTGAAACCATTACCCCTTGTCCTATTGTTACATGCCCTGGTGAACAGCTCTTCCCCAGCCTTCTTACATATATATCAGAGCCAAAAGTAGTCCCAGGGTCCTGACACCTGTGCTGTGCATTAATCCTAAACCTTTTTCCCTCCCTTGGGAGGAGAGTGATGTCAGCATTTTGCTGCAAAGGAAAAGATGGGAAGCACTGGAAATCCCACTGATAATCAGTACCATTCCTTTGCATCAGGTCTGGTGTTTCATTTCCCCATTTACTTTGGCTTATTTGGTCTCTGTGACTGGGAACTCCAGGATCAATCAAAGCAGAGCTCCAGCTTTGTGCTCCAAAAGCCTCTTTGCCACTTCTGACCAGTAGGAACCAGCTTAAAAGGTTCAGGTAGAATTTCCACTAAAAGTAAGTAAACTTCAGTTAGAGCTGTCTTCAATATAATTTTCCCCAAGCAAAATCTAATGGCTACTTGGAACAGGGCTGGTTTAATAACATCTGTTTCCCCTTGAATCACTAGGGGAAAGTATTGATATTGCCATGTTCTCAAGGAACATCTTTAATCATGTTTTGACAGGGCAATGCCTTGCCACAAAACTGATGGTTAAAATGTGTATGATATTTTGTAGTACTGTCCCTTACGATGGTGTGATAAAATACAGCACGTATACATTAAAATACAAGCATTGCAAGGGTTTATATGTTTATATGGAGCTTTTCCTGTAGTTGGGGAGGGGGAATGGCATGCTCTAGTCTTTTGTCCAGTCTGTGTGCTGTGTGTATCTGCTGTGACTGAACCACATAAACCCAGTGTTTTACTATCATTCCCACTTACCATTTCTGGAAGCAGTAGCATGTGCCTTGTTAACACCCTGGAATTCTTACAAAGTATCTCAGGAAGTACTGGGAAGATTTTCATGCGATGAATGTTGTGTCCTGTGTCCATTTTAGCTCACAGCCTGTGGGGTAGTTGTCCAGTCCATAGGTGGCTCTTTCTATCCAGAGCTCCCCAAGGCCTGTGTTTGGGGCCACCTTGATCAGCCACCAGCCACCTTGGTAAACTGGCTTCTTCAAAAGTGAACAGCTCTTTTTGCTTTATTTTTTCTTTTCCTGAGTTCAGGACGACCTGCTGGAGTCAGGCAGTTCTGTGACTTGTTCAAAGTAAAAAAAGCTCAGCAAATCAGCAGCTGAGCTTGACATGGCCCTTCTGTCTTCCTGATTGGTGTGATGGTACCACTGGTGGTTTTGACTCCAAGAGGGTGGAGAAGTCACAGCAGCTATGCAGAAGCCTCTTGCTCATCCCCCAGGAGCTGTGGTGCCAGAGCAGGCAGAACAGCTCTGGATGATGGGAAGCCTCTGCTTCAGACTTGGCTGGTGCACACTGGCTGTGGGACAGATACACCAGAAGTCTTAAATGAAATAGATACTGCCTGGGTGGGAAGATGAGTCACAGGGTAAAACCCCAGGCTGGTTGTACACAGTGGTCCTCTCTGCTCCCTGATGCTTGGACTTCCCCCTGCAGACATACTGAGAGTGTGTGTAGTTTCCATTCTTCTCTTGTGCACTTCCAGATTTACAGCCCAGACAGATAGTTCACAGTCTTTGGTCCTGTCCAGCAGTGCTGTGGTCCATGGTGGGGCATCTTTCTCTGTGGTGGGGCATCCTCCAGTAGCAATTCTTTTGCAGAGGCAGAGCTGTTTGGTTGCTCATCCTGCATAGGCAAATTGCCACACAGAGCTGAGCAATCCAGGTGTACTCACTGAACCTCCTAGGAGGCAGGGAAGCTGGTGGAGAAACATTGACACCCTTTTAAGTTTCCAGGAAAGCCCTAGAGGGATTGTTTCTCTTCCTGTGTTTAAGCCCCGGGGTAGTTGTTGTGAGGGTAAGTACTGGCTGGGATAACAGGGATAACACGGTGTGCAGATGTGCAGAGATAACAGTGATGTGGTGCAGAGGTGAGCTGCCTGGGCTTCAAGTGTAATGTTCAGTCTTTTTCTTTTCGTTACAGATGGAAGAAAAACGACGCAAGTACTCGATCAGCAGTGATAACTCAGACACCACTGACAGTAAGACCTTTAATTCAAGGCTTTGAATGAGATAACTAAGCGATTCACCTCCAGCAGGGAAAACACTTGAATAATTACTTTGCAAAGAGTGGAGGAGACTGCATTTACTGGGAAGTCTCTGCAGGATGAATTGTGCACTGGGCTGGGTTTGTCAGGAAGGCAGCAACAAGCTGGTATCAGTTTAACTGGGGCTCCTCTTAACTGATGAAAGTGTCTCCTTCATGAGAAGAGTCTGGGTGAGGGAGAGCAGCTGATGGCAGAGCTGCTAACAAAGCAAATACCCCATAGTCGACAAGTTGTCCTGTCCTGGGACCTGCAGCCTGGGACAGATTTGCTCTTGGCTGGGGATGTTTTTGCCCTTGTATAAGCTCAGCTCCAAGCCCAGGGCCCCTCCTGAAGTCCTTGCACACATAGCTCCATCATCTTTGCCATTTGCTGATGTGCACGGTGTTGTTTCCTCCCATTCAGCCATCCAAGGAGGAAGGCAGTGTTAAATAAGCCTATTGATAATTAATTTGTTGCAGCTCTGCCCAAACATTTTTATATAGTGGAATCTGGAAGAGTCCTGCTATATATAGACCCAACCATCATAGTTATTATAAAAATATACCAGTAATTATTGTATTAATTAGTGTGTTAGTAAGGTTTATTATTTATAAATAAGTTTATTAATTGGGAATAACTTTTTACAAGGGCATGTAGTCAGAGGACAAGGGGTCCTGGCTTAAACCTGGAAGAGGGGAGATTTAGAATAGACATTAGAAGGAAATTCTTCACTATGAGGGTATTGAGACACTGGAACAGCTTGCCCAGGGAAGCTGTGGCCACCCTGGAAGTGTTCAAGACTAGGTTGGATGGGGCTTGGAGCAACCTGGTCTAGTGCAAGGTGTCCCTGCCCATGGCATCGGGGTTGGAAATAGATGATCTTTAAGGTCCCTTCCAACCCCAGCCAGTCTGGGATTCTGTGATTATTTATTATTACCCAATACATACAATTTTGTTGGTTTTGGGGATTTAAGTGATGGTGACACCTATGGATTAGAAATAAAGATTAATAACATAATGTTCCCAGGACATTGCAGGCTTTAGCTGCCCTTATCTTGTGATGGTACCGCTCCAGTCAGGATGTTTTACTGGAAGGGAAGTTGTTACTGGAGTCAGGGTAAATCCAGAGCCACCTTGTTCTCTCTTGCAAGCTGAAGAGTGATATGGAAACAGGGATAAAGCTCAAGCCAGCAAAGCTTGCAAGCCCACGCTTGCTTTTTAACATCTACCTCATTTCATCCTCATTCAGGAAAGCACAGAAGCATGTGCCCAACAATAAACGTGCAAATGTGCTGAATTTTGGCTATAAATAGAGCACTTCCCTCTCCCACTTATTCCAGGGTTTCAACCCACTGCAGACACACTGCGGTGCCTGAGTGTTCCCTGCCCTCCAGGCACTAGTTAATCCCCTGTCTGAGCTCTGGAGTTTCCTACTAGTTGCTCTTGGTTTCTTACAAATGTCACAGTAATTTCATCTGGGCCGTGCTGGGAATTTGCTTTCCACACTTTACAGGATCTGGCTGCTGGATATCCGAGAACGAAAGGGACTTTGCTGAAGACACTAAACTTCTGGGCCTTTTCCTAACAGGATGATGGGGAGATTACAGGGGGTTATGGAAAGGCTGATCTTGCTGGGTTTGGCTGCTGTTCCCACAGCTTTAGCCAAAAAAATTGTCAGCAGGAGCTGAGTTTGCACCACTGCAGCCGGCGGGAACCTGCTGTTTGGTTGCTGGAGGGGAACCCCGTCCTGCAGGAGCCCTGGGGGGGCCTGGGGGCTGAACTGTGCCTCTCAAAAGCATTTCAGGCTTTGTCACCACCGCTTGCTTCTCGTAAAATAAAACATCTCCATCCCAGAAAGGGGGTTGTTTTGGAAGCCGTGCTCCAAACTTCACTTCCCCTAATCCTCAGATGCTCAAGGGCTTACGGCCGGGCTGCACGAGGCGGCTTCGCTGCCAGCCCTGGGTGAGGAGCCTTTAATCACAGTATTAAGGAACACAGCCTTATCTCTGATGGACTTGGATATTGGTGCTTCAGGTGATAGATCTAAGCTGTTGACAAATGCTGTCCTGCAGGATAATTGTAAATGTAAAGTGTGGACCTTCTTTTGTGTGGCTCCACCAGGATGCCCTCCAGGCACTAGTTAATCCCCTGTCTGAGCTCTGGAGTTTCCTACTAGTTGCTCTTGGTTTCTTACAAATGTCACAGTAATTTCATCTGGGCCGTGCTGGGAATTTGCTTTCCACACTTTACAGGATCTGGCTGCTGGATATCCGAGAACGAAAGGGACTTTGCTGAAGACACTAAACTTCTGGGCCTTTTCCTAACAGGATGATGGGGAGATTACAGGGGGTTATGGAAAGGCTGATCTTGCTGGGTTTGGCTGCTGTTCCCACAGCTTTAGCCAAAAAAATTGTCAGCAGGAGCTGAGTTTGCACCACTGCAGCCGGCGGGAACCTGCTGTTTGGTTGCTGGAGGGGAACCCCGTCCTGCAGGAGCCCTGGGGGGGCCTGGGGGCTGAACTGTGCCTCTCAAAAGCATTTCAGGCTTTGTCACCACCGCTTGCTTCTCGTAAAATAAAACATCTCCATCCCAGAAAGGGGGTTGTTTTGGAAGCCGTGCTCCAAACTTCACTTCCCCTAATCCTCAGATGCTCAAGGGCTTACGGCCGGGCTGCACGAGGCGGCTTCGCTGCCAGCCCTGGGTGAGGAGCCTTTAATCACAGTATTAAGGAACACAGCCTTATCTCTGATGGACTTGGATATTGGTGCTTCAGGTGATAGATCTAAGCTGTTGACAAATGCTGTCCTGCAGGATAATTGTAAATGTAAAGTGTGGACCTTCTTTTGTGTGGCTCCACCAGGAAAGGGTGCTGGTGGTTTGTGACCTGTGTAGTTGTATGTTGTAGCTGGAGAGGAAGGGGCAAGGTGGAAAGGAGTGACTCCATCTCTGGGTGTAAGCTGTGGAGCTGCTGCTGCAAGGCTTTGTGCAGCTTGCTCAGGGAAGCAGCGTTTCCTGGTGGCTGCAGCACAGGGAATTCTGCTGTGGGCTTTGCCTGCACAGTCCTGTTACTTGCTGAAATAATGAAACAAAAAGTGTTCATGTCAAGCCCACTTTAATGACGTCAGGCCTAACACTGCAGGAGGACTACATTGCCTGTGCTGGCGGAGGGTGGGACATTTCCCACCACACTGGTCCCTGTGCAAGCTCAGCTTCCAGCCCAGGGCCCCTCCTGAAGTGTGCAAGGCTCCATTGTTTCTGGCATTTGCTTATGGGCACAGTGTTGTTTCCTCCTACTCAGCCATCTGAGGATGAGAATAACACCATGTCAAGGTGTTATCACCTCTTGGCTTTGACCCGAAGAGCTGGTTGAGGTGGTGGTAGCAGCAGTGGGGCTGGTGACAAAGATAGGGGCAAAATTTAGTGACTTACTGTCTCTGTTTCCTTGTTGCAGGTCACACCACGTCTGCTTCCAGATGCTCCAAAATTCCAAATACCAAATCCACCTGGTCACGGCAGAAGGAGAAGAAGCCCTCTGAGGTATGTGAGCTTCTAGGCTTTAGCCAATGGGGGGTTTTGTCTCTGGGGTCATGCTTGCCCATGTGTAGTGGCAACCAGAGGAGAGAGCATCCTCTGAGGGGCCAGAGCTCACACTGCAGAGCCACAGCTCCCACTGATGGTGCTAGCCTCAGCCTTGTACTCAGCTCTGCTGGGAGGGAGCAAGTGGAGGTACCCAGTGGTCACCTTGAATGAAGGATTGAGGTTCCTTTTGCCCAAGTCATTGAGTGCTTGGGCCCCTAGGAGGGATTCCTGGTGGTGCAAGTAGGGAGAGGTTGAGTTTGATGGGATTGGGAGTTCCTACAGTATGGGCATGGCTACTTGCTGAGGTTCTTGGATGCCCCCCCTGGTGCCCTTTCATAAATGGCACAGGTCATAGCACTGATGCCAGGGGATGATGGCAGGGTGGCATGGAGGCTCCTCCTCTTGGATAAGTGGGATGTACAGAGGGCTGTGACATGAGGGACAGCACAGCTGAGGTTGAGATTGTGTTGTGTTGCTTTCTTCCTCGTCGTGGGGCTCCAGGATGTTGAGTCAAGGCTGTTGGTATCTGACCTTGCTGCAGGGTTTTCACTCACTCCTTGCTGGTCTGGGCAGCACTGCCCACCCCAGGGACTTTGCCCTGGTTGCCCCTGCCAGCTCTGGGGTGCAGGGTCTGGGATGGGATCTGTGTTCCCTGAGGACCATGCTGGAAGGGGCGATGCCGTGCCCTGTTTTCCCTTGGATGCCTTGGATCCATTTCCACTCGACATGGAAACTATACCAGGCATGAGCTGCTGTTGTAGCAACTGCAATGTTTAGTGGTGGTCAGCTCTGTCTCAGGAGCAGCCTGAGCAAAGCCAGAGGGACATTGTTCTCACATGCCCTTTCCTCTGGAACAGGATCAGGAGTCAGAGCTAAGTTTAGAAGCAGGTGAAGCTGGCATGGCAGGCTGTAAATTCCTTGCCAAACCCCTGCCTTCTGCCTCTCCTGAGGCTGTGGCCTGGTGAGCACAAACCTCTCTGACGTCCTCCTGGTGAGTCAAGCTGAGTAGAGATTTTGAGGTTTTCCTGTGGTCACTGCCCAAGTCACAGCTGCACTTAGTTCTTATCACTGTGACACATTTATATGGATAGATCTAACGTGTGGACAGGGACTTAAGAAGTCCGAGTTGTTTGTGCCTTGGTAAAGAGAGAGGCTGGAAAGCCATTATTACCAGCTGAGGTAATTGGAAACACTCCAGAGAGCAGAGAACCAGGGGTGCAGATGTCAGTGGCTGCTGTCAAAGCTGTTGGAAAGTTGCACATTAGGGTGAGAAATGTCATGTCTTGATTGTAGATCTGTCTGGGGAAATGGGCAAGAGGCTGATTCTGTGAGCTGAACCCCCACTGCAATAGCAGAGCATTTGGGGCATCTCCTCCCCCTGGGAGGACGGTTATCCCTCCTCAGATATAACTGCCCATTCCTGGGCCTGATGTGTCCATAAAGGCATTCGATTAGCCATGTACGTGCCTTCAGGAGTCCCACAGAGATGCCTGGTGTTAGACCTGGTTAGATGTGCCAAGATGTGACTTGTGTCACCAGCAGTGCCACATATGTCACCCTGCTGCTGCCCAGTAGAATCCTTCTCCAAAAGACCCTGCATCAGGACTTCTCTGACTGCATCACTGGCACAGACACACTTCTGTCTTTAATGTGAATCAGCTTTACCAATCAGCTCGGAGTTCACCTGCCTGATAATGGAATTACTGGATGTAAGTCTGAGCCGAGTCTCTGAGGGAAAATGCTTCTGCACTTCATGAAGGATGTTTGGACCCAGATGCAAGTTTTGCTGCTGTGCAACAGCTGGAGTGAAAGATGGATCTTAGTCCATGGCATCCGAGGAGACATCAGATGTGGGGCCGGCAGAGGCCAGGCTCATCCCTCTGCTTCACGCTGCGTTATGCCCAGAGGGTGGTTCTCAGGGAAATGGAGCTCTGGAACAAATAAGGTGGAGCAAAAGCTTAACAATGCCCAGCTTAGCAACAGTTGGGACAGAAAGTGAACCCCGGTGGCATATCTGAACTGAAACTCTGGGGGAATTTGGGGAAGCGGTGTGTAATTACTCATGTTGGAGTTTGGCCAGGATGTTCAAGCTGACAAACCATCTTGGTGGGAACCTGAGCAGATGGGACCAGTCCAGATCTCAGCTTTACTCCCTTAGCCTGCAGCTCCCCAATGGTTGCTGGCTGCCAGGTTTGCTTGAACCCAGCTTCAGGTGGACTCAGGGACTGTCCCTGAGGTTGGACATTGGATTGACCCTGTGTGGCAGGTCCGAGACCTGTAGTGGTGCATGGTAATGGTTTGGAGGTCACTCCAGTGAGCACTGGTTTAAGGATTTCCTCTATGACAGCATCTTCCAAACTCTTCCAGGAGTGATCCAACCATCTTCTCTTACTGTGAGCACCCATCAACTATCTGGTCCATGGTCTGGATCAAATGTAAGGCAGATCCTGGAGGATTTCTCGCAGGAGTCCTTGAGGATTTTTTGGCACAGACTGGGATGGATGTCATGTCATCGTGTCCTGATGGAGTAAAAGGTGTAAAACGACACCACTGTCAAACCTATTTCACACTGAGTTAGTTTTCTCTTTGCTATCCCATTGAGGATGGAAGCCATGGGAGGGTAACAGGGTGAGCACAATGAATCTCATCAGACTTTGGACCACCCCCCCTGCCCTGAGCAGCCTGCCCCAGGTGGTTTTTGGGCTGGAGAAGCCTTTTCAGGCAGTACCTCAGAATCCAGGTTTGCACATGGCTTGTAGCTTATCAAGAACTGAGCTGCTGTCTGGTTGTGGAGGGTCTGGGCAGATCCTCAGGGGCAGGGATGCTGGAGGATGGGCTGGGGGAGAGGGAGGTTGTGGGGGGTGTTTGTGTGTGGGAGGAACCACTGAGCTGTCCTGCCCCTCTCAAATTCTGGTCTTTGCTGCTCTCTGCATTCCCCCTGACAATCGGAGCAGGAGATTAAAAAAATCAGAAGCATTAGTGTTACGTAGTTATTAGCTGGGTCAGGGGGTGATGTTTATTATGAAAGACTCTGTGAGAAGGGATTAACTATACACATTAAAAACCACCCGATACAAGGCATCTGGAAAAACAAGCTTCTTAACATGGAAAAGTACTGAGCTGTTTGTAAACATCCACGATGGGGGCCATTGCCAGGGAGGGCGATTATATTTATCTGTGCCTGTCACGGGGCTCTGCCCGGGCTCTTGCCTGATGTGTCCCAGGCACCAGGCCTCTGTCTCACTTGCACAGGGGACAGTTGTCCTCCCCTGCCACACGCCTGGGCAGCAGAGACCTCAGGGCAGAGCTCTGCTGTCATTCTAACAGTGCCAGGAGCATGACGGCTGCCCTGCCCGTGCCTGCAGGCAGAGGATGGACACGGGCAGCTACCAGCAGCTTGTTGTATCTGCAGTGATAGCAGTCTACCAATCTGGTCATTTTAATTAATCTTGTTAGAGCTCGTTTGTCACCAAGCCTGGCCTCAAGCCTGGTGGCCTGTAGGAGCCCTGTGGGGAGATGCGAGTGGTGCTCCCTGCCCCAGGAGCTGGAGGGAGGGGTATGCTTGTTCAGCTCCTCCCTGCCTAGGGTGCTGGATCTGCAGCAGCAGCCTGTGCCTGAAGTAGGGATTTCTGCTGCATTTAGCTGTGCATCGCATTCATGCAGTCCTGCCCCTGGCTATGGGGCTGCTGGAGATCAGAGTGCCAGCCTCCCTGGTTAGGCTGCAGCCAGCAAGGCCTTGCTCCTGTTCTGACAGGGAACAGTTGTCAGTGTCTAAGGAGGGAGCCTCGGAACAAGGCAAGTGTGTGATGATAGCTCCTGGCTCCATCCGTCAGCTCCCAGCCATCAGCGGCCTGGGGACTCCCTGGGTGCTGCCTCTGAGTCACCGCCTTTCCCACAGTGCTCCTCATTAGCTCCTGAACTATTCAGGAGCTCTTTTTCGCTTCAGGGGTGGGAAAGAAAACTCTACTTTATTTTGTGCAAACCACCTGCCTGTCACTCCCCCAAGCCACCCCTTTTGGCAGCTGGAGAGCCTGTGCAGCCTGTCCTCTGCAGGCAGTGCTCAGCTCACCGGACATCCTCATCCCACTTCTCCTTCGCTCCAGAGCCTCTGGAGACAAGGGGACTGCAGCTGCAGGCAGAGTTCAAGATGAAGGGGAAACCACAAATTTATACAATTTACATTACTTTCTGCTTGCCTCATTTAGATATTACTTCCACGTTTTGAAAGATGCCTTTTTGTATCTCTTTACCAGAATTTAACCCTTTTAACAAACATCCTCATTGTTTCCCTTCTCAAAAGTAATTCTTAGTGCATTAGGTCTTGGTTTTTTCCCTGAAAAATGTGTAGAATGGCTGAGTACAATGTGAATTTAGTCCTTGGGCTCTCTGTACTTGAAATGTTTTTGTGAGCATGGCCAAGCAAGACTGGACATGCTTTTACTGGGCTGGATAAGGAGAAAATTTGTCTCTGTTGAAAGGTTTGACTGCAGTGGCTTTGTCACTTTTCCCAAGCTGGCATGGGGATAACAAATTAATACCATTGTCTTCTGAACACTGAGAAGGGCCAGACAAAAATGGTTTTTGTTCCTATTTTAAATTCTGTTGTTCATTGACTCTTTAACATTCAACATTTCGAGAGGAAACAAGACTAGATGGAGAGATAGCAGGCTGGCTCCCAAATGAACATCAGAGTAAGTGTTTTTTTTCCCCACAGGCAGATAATATCACTGCTTACAAACACACACTGAGCCTCACCACGTTTCAGAGCCTTGCTACCTAATATTGCCACTCCTCTCGTTTTGGAATGGGCTGGAAAAATGTGATCTGATGGCAGGGAAATAGTGCTGGGGGGGCTGGAAGTGAGTGGGGCTGGGCAGCCGAGAGCTGCACCCACTGAGGTGCTGGCTCAAGCTGATACGAAGACAGTTTGTACAACCAGAAACTATTCCCAGGGCTCC